GATTTGCATGATTTTTTTTTCTCATCAATTTATGTGTTTCTCCCCATAAATCTATTTTTTTCTTCTAAATTTTCTTAGAATCTCTTAAATGTGCCAGCTTTTTCTTGTAAATTTACGTTTTTACTCTTGTAAATGTTCTACTTGTTTCCTTCTAAATTTGCATCTCAATAATCTTAAACAAATTGTGTGTTTTTGACTCTAAGATTTTTGTGTTTATTCTAGTTAATTTGCCCCTTTAAATTTAAATTCTTTTTTTTATTTCATGTTTAAAATGCCCTGATATGCTGTTGTACATGGGGCCTCCTCTCCCTACAGGTATTTGCAGGTGACCTAAAACACATCCACCAATCATCCTCCATCTTCCTAAGTCCCTCTTGACAACGATCTACTGAAAACAATTATTTTGTTGGCTCTCTGTTAATACATTTACAAAACATTGCAATCTATGTCAACACACCAACATTAGAAATATGAAAATAATCTAAATGTTGCACCATCATTGGTTATATTTTCTTCAAACGTCTTCAAACTTGGAAATAAAGTTATTTATTTATTTCCTAAATTGAAATAGTCATTAAATTTAAGAAAAGAAAAAATGCAACCTGAAAGTTTTCCGGTTTTTCCTAAAGGAGGATGAATTAAATTCCTGGGAGATGTGGTGTAGATTAATGACCGAGGATGTTCTGAAAATCAGCCAAACAAAGACAGAGCAAAGCAGTTGTCCCTGATTTATCGTCACTCACCAAGAAAACGGCAGGATGTTAAAGAACTGAAACGCTTGAAGCATTGAAGCACCAGGAGGACTGATGTCTGTGGCAGTTTGTAGCTCGGTTTATTAAACAGACAAGACGAACACTCGAGCATCAGACACGGATAAGAAGTCACATGAATCCTCATTAGTCACAAACAATCAAGACAAACCGAAGAGGCTCTGAATCAAAATCTCAGGAACTTCACTTCTCAGGAGACAATATGTGAAAGATTTCTTTCCTTCTTTTTTTCTACGCTCGCGTGATGAAACCTCCGAGCTTTTAGTGTAGCCGTTTGTTTACCTGATAAGATCCCTGAGGAAGAAACAGAAGAGTCTGTTGAGCTCTAAACGACGAAGGTCCGCTCCATCCGAGCAATCGCCGTTTTTACTGTTTTAAATGAAAAGTGCTGTGGAAGAATCACTCTGACTAAATCTAGCAGTTCATCGTGGATCCTAGAAAAACACCAACTAGACAAACAACACATCAAAAATCATTACGAGAGGGAAACTTTGGAAAAAACGAGCGTTGCTGAAGAGATTTTTCACGATCACATCATTTTCTCCAAATTAGACCTAATCTATTCAGTCATGATGAGTTTACCAACATTTCATGCAGCTCTAATCTGTTGCTTTAGTTGAAATTATGATTCTAATCTCCAGAACAGTGATTCTATGCAGAGCCGCCGTCCGCTTCTAGGTTATAAATAAAAGGCGTTCCTCTGGGTAGTCCATGAGAGCCTGATGCAACCATCAGCAGGAAACGCCCTGTTGGTCTGTTGGACGCAGGGGGAGCATTTTCAGAGAACGCCGGGGCGGATCCGTCACACGGCGGCCATCTTGCTGGCCTCTCTGACGCCACTGAGGTAGGCTCCGGTCACAGTCTGAGGGAAGTGTCGGTTTGTGGCCTGGAGAGGCGACAGGCAAAACTTAACGTTAAAAAAAACCGATGAGAGTGAAAATAAATCAGTGGAGACGCAGCGTTACCTCGCCGGCGAAGAAAACCTTTCCCTGCAAGTCTTCCGCCAGGACGTCGTAGGCCTCTCCGCTGCCCCCCGTCTTCACAAAGCTGTAGGACATCTGGGACCACTCGTCTTTGCTCCAACGTGTCACGAAATAACTCAGAGGATCCGGAACATCCTGTTGAAAAACAAACGACAAACTTCAGGAACATCCAGAAGCTCCAAGGCAAAGCAAGTCCATAACTGATCCTCATCAGAGACGACATCCCTGTGAAAGTGTAGAAGCAGTTTTATTGTCTTATATCAGATCAGAATCAGAAATCAGAATCAGAATATATCCTTAAACATGGCCCTATACTTACTTAGCAACAAAACGGTACATGTTGAAGTTTAAGCAGAGGCGTGCACAGACATTTTGGGGGGCAGGTGCTCAGGAGGGGGG